TATAAAGGCTAGTTCATTTCACTTCAGGTAAGTGAGTAACATTTTTGAATCTGACAACAGGCACTGTTGAGGATATGAGGAAAAAGAAGCCCTCGTATACTGCAGGGGAAATAAATTGGTATGACCACTATGTCAATAAATATGGAGGTTCCTTAAAGATTACAATTAGAACTGCCATATGCTCCAACTATATGACTCAGACATATATTCAAAGGACCTTAAGTCAATAAAACACATAAATAACTGTACATCTGTGCTATTGTTATACTCTTCACACTAGCCAGGAAATGGGCACAACCTATGTGTCCTCTGATAAGATAATGGATAAGCTATGCATTAGCTTAAGTTGTAAAAGTGGATTGTTTGTATCAAAGCTAGCCTTCCTCATATTAAAAAAAATCAATGATATGACTATTTATTGTTTTGCGGTGGTATAAGTATTAGTGTGTTAAACTTACATGTTAAATTTTTGGTTTTGAAACATGTAGGTGGCAAATGATCTAAAAGATTTGATGTAGGATTAATAAGCATGTGCTTTAGAGTCCCTTATTTTTAACTCTAGGATCAAAAAGAGCCCAGTGGTATGTTCACATGGTCTTGAGTTTTATATTGTTTTTAAAAGTAATATATTTTTCATGCTCTTACTGTCAGAATTTCCCTTTATTACAATTTATCTCATATTTTACAAACTTTATTATAAGAAAACCTTGCAAATAAATAAACACCATACGACAAAATTAACCCAACCCAGAATTTATACAATTTAATGAACTTATATACACTTAGACTTAGTCAATGCTGATTATTGCAACTTTACTTTTCCTAAACTTTACTTTTACTGAACATGGGTCTAGCTGAAGTGAAAAACTGAGTTGTACTAAACTGTGTGACCAACATATTTTTCTCTGTACACTTAGGTTTTGCCACCAAGATGTCCCAGCCTTTAGCTACGGCTATTTCACATTGCGACTACTTTCCTGTCTGGTTACTTAACTCAGAGCCACAGTTTATTTCCCCCCATCTTCAGCGTTGGAATCTGTATTTCCCCTCCATGACTGCTTCCAATTGCTCTTTTTTTCCCCCTCGCTCATTGCTGCCACACTGTGCACTCTGTTCTGTCTGAAGAGGGTTCTGTCCCCTGTATTCTTATTTGGACCCAAAATTGCCTCACTGATTGGTACCTACTAAAGCTTACAATACCTATTTTGATTCATCAACATGTTTATTTACATAATTTAATACACACAATACCTTTCTTGAACTTGGATTGTTGTAATGGAGTTGGAAGGTTATGCTCATAATTACTGCCCCCTGGTGTGCAAACCAGGTATAATCTCCTGTTGGCAGAAACTATAATATGACAAATGTCATTCCTGAGATTAGGTTACAACTCATAAGAATGGCAAAAAATATTTCTGCATAGGTAACTAAGTCCACAATCAGTTTGACACATGTTGAATTTGACTTTGAGTTAGTGCAGTGAACTGGAAATTTTAAGTTTCAGGCTTTAATTATTTTTGGCTCTATAATTCTTAATTAGGTCTTCATATGACAGTACATTTACTATATATATTATTTATTTTTAAATTTAAATTAGAAACAAGGTTGCTTCACATGTCAATTCCAGGCCCCTCTCCATTTCCCTCCCCTCCTCCCGTGCCCTCCCACCAACCCCCCCCAATACCCTCTCATTTCCCCAGGGAGGGGTGAGGCCCACCATGGGGGTGTCCATAATGACAGTATATTTATAATACTTCCTATGGAGAGAAAAAGAAATACCATGCTTATTCATAGCGCCATCAATCAAATTACTATTGTGCATTTTGATGTTTAGAGCTTTGGCAATAAAGATATTACATAGTTTTCAGAACCAGGGAGGAATGTTGATTTTTGGCTTGCTTCTTGTAGCTTGTTTAACTTGCTCTCTCATACAAGCCAGGACCAGGTAACTGCCCAGGAGTGGAGTTGTCCACAATGAGCTGGGCAGTTCCAGATCAATCACTAATCAAGAAAGCAACTCCAGAGACATCCCAGTGATTCTAGTTCATGTCAAGTTGACAAACTTGATCATATAATTGATCCCTTATCAACTTAGTAACAATCTTTCCTTTCTTGTTGTTTCTAAGATCTCACATTAATATCTTGATATAAAGCATGGCATAACTTTAAAAGTCCTACATCCTTTAAAGCATTTGAACACTTTAAAAGTTTGGTCTCTTTAAAATACCCAAACTCACTTTTAAAATCAAATACAAGACATACATATACTTGTTTCAAAATGGACCAAGACACAGTTACAGTCAAATCGATATAAAACCCAGCATTCTCCAGTGCAGATCAAACAATGTAGCTCAGTCTCTGGTCTCTGGAGCTCACTAATGGTATTGACTCAAAAGGGCTTGGCAATAAAATTTACCTGGTTCTGCAAGACGCATCACACATAACTTGTCTCATGCTTAGGAAAGCTCTGCTCCATAACCACTGCAGTCTTTGTGGTCATCCACAGTTGCCATGACATCCTCACCATGCTGGGGTCTCCACTACAACTGAGACTGTATCTTTACTAATAGCCTCTTAGGGAATCTTCAAAGACTTACTTCAAGGTAACAAGAATCAAATTCTCTAAAATATCTCTTCATTTATTATGTTTATCCTGAAAGACATTTACATATTATTGACCAAATTTGGCTGCCATCTTGAGGTACAGTTTTCACCCCATCTGGATCACATGCATGTGTAAATACTGATGAAATACTTAGATTTCACTTTAGTGATACTGGTCTCTTATTAACCACAGATGATTTTTCAGATCCTTCTAATTAGCATCAATTGTCTCAGTAAAGCAAAAGTTTCACTTCAGAGGTACTTGTCTCTTGTCAATCACAGATGATTCTTCAGCCCTAAATGGCCAGACACTACAGACTCCTAATTCAAAATATCACACAAACATTTCAAATAGAGTCTGTGGTGAGCTCCCAAACTTCCCTCCAAAACTTTGCAAACAGGACACCCATTATCAGCAGTCTTATCATCCAGATTCCTTCAATGTCTCATTAAGCATGGCCAAAATCTTGAAATCCTCTACCTTTCATACACAAACAGTTCAGGGCATAAAACACCACATGGGCATATCCATCAGAATGAGTACCAATTTCTGTCCTAGTTACTTGCCCTGTTGCTGAGATAAAACATTGACCAAATTAACTTGAAAAAGAAAGGGTTTATGTCAGCTTATAGGCTGTAGCCAATCATTGAGGAAAATCTGGGCAAGGAATCCAGGCAGAAACAGAAGAACCATGAAGAAATGATGCTTACTGGCTGACTTCCCATACCTTGCTCAGCTTGCCATTTTATAAAATCCAGGATGGCAAGGTTCAGGGTGAGCTAGGCCCTCCCATATGAATCATTAATCAAGAAAATGCCCCACAGATATGCCCACAGGCCAACCTGATGGAGGCAATTTTTGAGTTGAGGTTACCTCTTCTCAAGTGACTCTCGTTTGTATCATGTTGACAAAACTAACCAGACAATGAGAACCACAGCAAAATTGAAAACTTCCTATTTTGTAAATTTGCTCCCTAGAGGGCACTGTTTCCAAATAGGAAATGACTTGTAGATTAGAGGAGAGATGTAAAAACCTACTTTCTCTACTGCTACAGCAAGATTCCTGACTGATCAATTTTAGACAGTGTTGGAGGAAGACTCTCAGATGCCAGAGGAAGGTGATTGCCAAGAATGGTCCATCTTGGCAGTCCCTTTGAATTCCCTATGGTGAAGGTATCTAGGTATCCTTAAGCTCAAAGCAACCTCCATACACTTCTCTTGGTGTCCTGGTTATATTTGCTTTCTGGAGATCTCCAGCAAAGAGTGAGCTGCTTCCTCATCACTACGGTGACCTTGCTGTGCACCCTGAAGCTTAGTGCTCTGTGAGTGTCACTCTGCTTTAGTCTATCTTCACAGAGGGAACATTGCTCAGTTTCACTCTGGACAGACTTTGCTATTGGCTGAGTCCCCCCACACAGCACTTTCGCTGCAGGAGGATGCAAAGCCAGGTGGTGGCCAGCCTGATGGCTGCATCTGTGCATCTGCAGCAGCTGCTCTAGGGCTGAGGGACAGCTACTTATTTCTGTCTCTTGGGGTCCTTTCCTGCATCTCCAGCACCTCCTGAATCTCACACCAGGGTGACTGCCTATCTCAGACTCACTATAGGAAGGATGGAAACTCCTTCTACCTGAGCAGGACTGAGGGAGCTGGGTGCTTCTCTGCCCCAAGTCACAAGTGCAGAGCTGGATATGAGCCACCTGAGAATGCAGAGTAAGAGACGAAGGCCCCAGACTCCGACACTTTCAGAGATTTCATGTGTTCTGTAAAACTTTAATATACCATTCCCTTTGTTGCAAATACGCAGTGCATTGTCCCCTGAAGGCGCCGTGTGCTGCAGCCCACCAGAACTGTTCCCCTGTCATCTGGAACTTACCGAATTTGATTTGTTTTTCCCATGCCACCTTCTCCTTATGGGCCCTTTAAAAATATTTATCACAAACCTTGGTTGCAACAGGAGTTTCCAAATGCACGTATTTTTATCTATCCAAAGAAAATGAGACCATCTAATCTATATTACATAATAATTATTATTTTGTTTCTCTATGTGATTGGAGCATCTCCTTTAAATCAATTCATAGCTCAATAAAGGTATTTTAGTCAAAACTTGCATCTTATTTCTGGATCTAATAATTAGCTGTTTTTTTCTATACCTTATACCACTTGAGACCTTTTATTCTTAGGAGGTCCCTTCCTCCTCAGAAGTCCCTCATATATCTTACAACAACAATGTCATCAAAAAAAAAACCATCTCCAACCACTAATCTCCCCAGACTCTCAGCCAGGTCTAGTTGGGAGGATCTTCAGGCTCAGAAGGCTGGGAGGGAACTCTGCAGTGTCTGGCCTGGCAGGGTTCCTGGGTGGAGCTGCCTGGTGCAGGAGGAGGGACCTTAAACAGTCATCCTGACACCACAGCCCAGGGTTGGTTACTGCCTCTGTCTCCAGCATCCACACAAGCACCATGAAGAGGCTGCTGTGCTTTCTGCTGGGGCTGCTGTGCTCCCAGCTTTGCTGTGAGTCTGGCTGTCCACACCCAGGGACAGAGAGGATTGTGCTCAGGACATGGAGGGTGGGGAAGCATCTCAGGAGCCCTGCAGAGCTCCCTCCTTCTCAGAGGACATGGGGTGTTCAGGGTTCTGTGGATGCTCGGTGACCTCATCTGTGTCTCTTTCTCTGTTTCTGATCAGGGGTGGAAGGGCAGCAAGTGGAGCAGAGTCCTGTGTCCTTGGTTCTGCAGGAGGGAGAGAGTGCAGAGCTGCAGTGCAACTTTTCCACCACTGCAACCCAAATGCAGTGGCTTCACCAAATTCCTGGGGGACATCTCATCAGCCTGCTCTCCAATCCTTCTGGAACAAAGCAGAGTGGAAGACTGAAGTCCACGACAGTCATTCAGGAACGTCGCAGCTCTTTGTACATTTCCTCCTCCCAGACCACAGACTCAGGAACTTATTTCTGTGCTATGAATGCACAGTGCTTCACACACACCTGCAACCAGAACACAAACCTTCAGAAGGGTGGGTGAGGCCTCTCCCAGTCACAAGACATTCAGAAACCACAACAAAACATCTATCTTGTTTAATGTCTGTTATCTTTTTATCTTCATTTCTCAGTATATACTTCCTCCTGAAGCAGAAATAAATGTTCATATTAGAATTAACAGAAAAACTGATGGGTAATGAATCATCTGAACATTTAACCACAATTTGCTTAAGTGGTAATGGGTAAGGAGCAAATGGAAAGAAAGGCAAAGGCAGTCATCCACACAAAACTGCTGTGAACAGTGACGCAGCTATCCAGACCCATAAAAATGAATTCACTTCATCTTGTCTTCAGGTCAGAGAGTTCAAAACTATCCCTACTCTTCCACGGTTAAAGTATGAGACCTAAAGGTCTAAGATGTGGCTACTGTAGGATATTTGGTCTTAGTTGTGGATGTCTTAGCTAAATAACAAGAAACTTGATCTGAGGTGTGATTACTCATAATCCTCAGGGCAAGATAACAAGAGATTTAGTCTAAGACATGTTTTCTAAATGTCTGGAGAATTAAGGAAGAAAGTCTGTTTCTTCTTTGTATCTTGATAAAGAAGTCTTTTTGCCACTTTCCCCTTTTTGGTTGGGTGTATTTAAGAATGTTGAAGAATAAACTTGGAGCTTTAAATATTCACTGTATTTCCCTCCTGATTCTATCCTGTGTCTCTGTCTTTTCCTTAGTATATTTACCTGCCATTTCTCAATTTACACACCCCTTATCAGATACTATCTGTGTAAGTCAGCTGGATCCAACTGAAGTCTCACAAAAACGGGGTACTGCATACAACTCAGTTGTGTCTTAAGCACATCCAGTCCCTGACACATGCCTTTGACCTGTTGACACAGTGGGAAAATATGCCAAAATGTTCCTATGCTGTGAAACAGATGTGAGCATCACTTAAAGTGTATTTTTCCCTCACCTGCCTAAGTCCTATTCATATTCTTGGAGTTTCTCTGGACTAATTATCTGCCCTATTCTGAAAAGTTGTCTCTTCATGTTTAAGAATATGTCCTTGGCTGGATGGATAGCTATAATTCTCCCTTGATTTATAGTGTTAGAGTATATTTTCTTTTTGTTACTCTTTTCATTGTTTTTACTTAGTATTATTTGTAAGGTACTGGAGTCTCCAACTATTGTTGTTAAATGATCTCTTTCTACTGAAGCCCAGTCAGTTTTTGCTTCAGGTATTTGGAGGATTGTTATTAGGTACATATATAAGTGTTATAATGTCCTAATGGATAACATTTTATTCATTTAAGATTCAACCCAGGAAATCACTTTGCCATTGATCTATGTCCCTGACTTTGAGACTGATTATTCAGCTGCCTTCCTGTACTCCTTTCCATGGAAAGTCCAGCCCATGCTGTTAGCCTCATCCACCCTGACCAAGCACCTGTGACTTTATTCCCTGGCTGACTCCTTCCATCTGAGCTCTATACACCCTGCCCACCTTACCCATCCAACCCCACCTTTAGCTTCTCCTTTATGCAGGCACCAGATTTTCAGCACCATTCAACCATTCCTGCAACCCAAGGATCACCCCTCTGTAAGGAGGAGCACTAGACCAGCAACTCCACATACTCCCACTACGAGCTAAGGTATACATGGTGTCTAAGCCACTTGCCTTCCTGCACATCTCTTGGCATACCCCACTTCAGGTAGGGATATTCAGTTCTCTCAAATAAACACTTCCAGACTCACTGATCACCTTTGACCCCATCCTCAACCTGGGAGACTAGATTCACCCCCAAACTTAACTCTGTCCACCTATACTATTCTACACATCCTCACTGTTCATACCCCTTCTCTAGGTAGACATTAGACTCATTCTACCAACTGTACTTACTCCTGAAACCCCATGGTGTATAACCATTAACACTATAAATTTACAAAACAAAGAAATATATTGAAAGAAGCAATAGAGAAAGATTAAGCCACATGCAGAGGCAGGCCTATCAGAATAACATCATACTTTTCAGTGGAGACCATGAAACCCAGAAACCATTGGGTAGATGCTGTACAAGTTATAAAAGAGCACAGACGCCAGCCAAGACTGTACCCAGGAAAGCTATCAGCCATAATTGAAGGAAAAGGAAAATTTTCCATGATAAAATAGTCTTAAATAATATGTAACCAGTAAGCCAGCTCAACAAAAGATACCAGAGGTAATATTTAAGCCTCAAGAAATGATTAAACAGGCCCAAGAAGGCGTAAAAAGAGTTTCAGTACATTGAGTCAAAAGAGGGCACGGGAGGAGGGGAGGGAAAGGGAGAGGGACCTGGAACTGACTTGTGAAGCAACCTTGGTTCTTATCTAAATTTAAACTGGAAAATAAAATATAAAAAGAAATCTAAAAAAAAGAGGTCTAACAGAAAATCACAAAAGCAACAAAATAACAGGAATAAACATTTTCAATAATAAACTTTACTGTTAATGATCTCAACCCCCAATGAAGAGATACAGACTAACATTTGAATCAGAAAGCAGGATACAACTTTTCCTGCTTCCAAGAAACACACCTTAGGACTGATAGATATCACCTTAGGATGAAAAATGGTAATCTAAGCAAAAGAACCAAAACCAATAATGGGTAGTTATTCTATTATCTGACAGGACTGACATTAAAGAAAAACAATCAGATGATATGAGGGATATTTTAATATATTAAAGAAAAAATCCAAAGAAGTATTGTATATGCACTAAACAGAGGATCACTCATTTCATAAAATAAGCAGTATTTAACTTAAAACCACAGATCAACCCCAGTGCAATGATAATGGGTAATTTTAATATCTCACTTTCACCAACAGAAATATCACCTGGAAAACTAGCTAGACAAACTTTGGAATTAAATAAAAAATAAGCAGAATGATCCTAAGAGCTCTCTATAGATCATTCCACCCAAGCAACTAAACAATACAAATTTTTCTGTAGGGATAGTCTCAAAAATATACTACATATTATGACAAAAAGCAAGCCTTACTAAATATAGGAAATTTGAGAATAACATAATGCTTTCTGTCTGTATCTATATGACCACCAAAGATTAAAGATGTATATAAGCAAAAGATAGGAGGTACACAAATATATGAAAGCCAAATAACACACTACTAAGCCAAAATTGGGTTAAAGAATAATCAAGAAGGAAGTTTTTTAATTCCTAGAATTGAATGAGAAAAACATAACGTGTAAAAATCTGTGAAACACATTTAAAGAAGTTATAAGAGGAAAGTGTATAAACACTAAGTGCCTATGTCAAGAAAATTGAGAGATCTCAAATTAGTTAAGTTAGTAATGCACCTGAAGGCCCTAGTAAAATAAGAAAAATTAATTTACAAATCAGTAATGAGGAAGAAATAATCAAAATCATGTCTGAAATTAATGAAATGGGAATGAAGATAAACTATAAAAATAATGAAAGAAAATATTACTTTGAAAAGATGAGCAGTATTGACAAAATTTTAGCCAAACTAACTGAAAGAAGCAGAAGTCTATTTGATAATGGTGGATGGTCTTTTTGATGTGTCCTTGGATTCAGTTTGGGAGTGTTTTTATTGAATATTTCTGCACCAATCTTTTTTTCCTTTTATATGAATTTTATTGGGAGAACCCAAGGCCTTATAGAAAAATTGCTTCTGAAAGCATCCCCCGCCCCAGGACCTAAGGAATCCCTTCCCCCATCTTATATGTACCATAACAATTCTCAGTGGTTTTGCACCAATCTTAATGAGGGAAATTGGTCTATAATTCTCTTTCTTTGTTGAATCTTTGTTTGGTTTGAGTATCAGGGTGACTGTGACCTCATATGATGAATCTGGCAATGTTCTTTAAGTTTCTATTTTGTGGAACAATTTGAGGAGTATTAGCTCTTCTTTGAGAATCTTGTAGAATTCTGTTCTGGCCCTGGGTATTTTTTGGGTTTTTGTTGTTGTTTTTGGTTTTTGGTTTTTGGTTAGGGAACATTTGATGACAGCTTTCTATTTTCTTAGGGGCTATAAGTCTGTTTAAATTGTTTATCTAATATATATTCAAATTTGGTAAATCACATCTATTGAGAAAATTGTTCATTTCTTTCAGATTTTATAATTTTATGGAATACAAGTTTTTGAAGTATGACTTCTGATTCCTTGGGTTTCTTCAGTGTTTATTGTTATCTTTCCCTTTTCTCTAATTTTGTTATTTTGGATATTGTATCTGTGTCTTTCAGTTAGTTTGGATAAGAGTTTGTCCATCTTGGTGATTTTCTAAAAGAATCAACTCTTTGTTAATTGATTCTTTGTATTGTTCTCGTGATTTCTGTTTAATTTATTTCACTCCTCAGTTTATTTCCTGACATCTTCTTGGATGTGTTTGCTTCCTTTTGTTCTAGAGCTTTTGGGTGTGCTGTGAAGTAGCTAGTATGAGATCTCTCCAATTTCTTTATGAAGGCACCCAAATGCTATGAAATTTCCTTTTAGCACTTCTTTCTTTATGTCCCATAAATCTGGGTATACTTGTGGGAGTGGCCAACCAAAGAGTGGTCCAACTTGAGACCCATGCTGAGAGAGTGAGAAAGAGAGAGAGAGAGAGAGAGAGAGAGAGAGAGAGAGAGAGAGAGAGAGAGAGAAACACACAGAGAGAAACAGAGAGAGATAGAGAGCCCATGCATACATGACACTTCCTGGAGGGTAAGGAACCAGAATCTGGATAGCCCAGAGCCCTAGGATAGAACCAAACATAGACCAGAGCCTAGCATAATTGTCATCAGAGAAACTTCAATCAGAAACTCAGGGAGCAGATACTGAGAACTACAACCAAATATTAGGTAGAGCTTGAGGAATTCTGCAGAAGAGGAGGAGTAAGAATTGTAGGAGCCAGATGGTTCAAGGACACCACAAGAAAAGCAACCTATAGAATCAACTAACCAGGATCCATAGGGGCTCAGAGAAACTGAACCAACAATCAGGAAGCCTTCATGGGGTCTGATCTCTGTCCTCTGCATATATGTCATGATTGTGTAGTTTTGTGTT